TCTCCAAACTCGATTACTTCAACATCTTCAAATTCAATTAATCACCAAGCTTCTTTCATCATAAAACAATAATTATCTTCTTTTTCAAAATTTTCTCAATCGATTTCCTCAAATCTTCTCCTCTCATCACACGAAAATTAATTTAAAAAAAAAAACGAATTTCAAAAATTCATTTATCTTCAAACTTAACAATTACCTCAACAATATTCACAAATTAATACGATCAATTCTCTTTCTAAAATCCGATCATCGAAAGAAGATAAATAGATCGAGAAATCGTTCGAAACGATCATCGATACAGGTCGGAATTGGAAGAGAAGCGGAGGGAAGAATGCGCTGGAGAGAAGAATGGCGCGTAGGTAGGGACACGGTTCGCGCGCAGTTTATGATAATATTTAATCCAGTTACAGCGAAGGGTGAATATAGAGCGGACAAAGCGGACCTCGTGGTGGTCAGTCGATGCCTCGATGCACGGTTGGCAGTGGTGTAATCCAGTTATGCCCGAGCTACGGACGCAACGCGTTGCGGTTTAGTAACGTTCCGTATCGCTTCTACGCGTAATACATTTCCGTGTTATTCGTTATTCGTTTGTTGAACAGCTATTTTCGGATATTCGATCGAAGGGATACGAGGGACTGTTGTAGGAAGAAACGAGTGGAAATTAGATAATCACGCGCGGATATATCGTTATAGGAGTTTAACAATCGTTTGGAATATTTTTAATTTCGCGTGGATAATCGTTTGTTAATCGAAGAAATGAGTGGAAATTAGGTAATCACGCACACAGGATTTGTTTTATCAATTGTTTGGGATATTCGATCAAAGGAATTTGTTGTAGAATGAATGAAGAAATGAATGGAAATCGTTATGCGAATTTATTAATTGTTTGGAATATTTTATATTTTTATCGTTTTATTTATCTATTCCTTTGTTTTATGAACATATCTTTTGGGATATTCGATAAAGAAATGAGTGGAAATTAGATAATCATGCAATTGTTTGTTTTATTAATTGTTTTGAAATGTTTGAAATTGCGTGTGGATATTGTTTTTTAAATAATCGTTTGAGATATTCGATGAAGAAATGAATGGAAATCGTTATGCGAATTTATCAATCGTTTGGAATATTTTTTCGCGTGTGGATTTTTCGTTTTGGGATATTCGATGAAGAATCGAATGGAAATTAGATAATTACGCGTGAATTTGTTAATCGATCGTTTCTTATTCGATAGAAACAATAGAAGTTATAAAAATGAACAAATAAGCGGAAATTATATGTGGATATCGTTTGTTAAACATTCGATCGAAGCAATAAGAGGAATTGAAGAGAATGGACAAATGAATGGACATTAGATAATTAAGCGTAGATATCGTTTGTCCGTTTGAGATATTCGATCGAAGAAATAGAAGGAATTCGTAAAAGAATTGTTCATCACGTGTGAATCATTCAGAATATTTTAAATTCTATCGTTTAATCATTTAACGATCGAAAAAATAGAAAAAATTGTAGAGACTATCAGTTTTTAAATATTTTCATCAATCGATTTAGAATATTCAGACGAAAAAATAAGAAGAATTAAAAAAAGACGAAAAAATTAATTAATAAAGTTGTAATTTTTGTATCTATTGACTATTGTTTACTAAATCAATTGATTATATAAAAATATTCGAAAAAAAAGTAAAACTTACGAAATAGGCGAAGAAACAAAAAGCATCAGTGAATGAGTTTCAACTAATTTTCTAATTTTCCACTTCTGATTATCAATCAATTGTTCTCAATATTCAATTGAGAGGAAATAACGAATAATCGAAACAGTTCCATTTTTCCTCTCTACAATGACTAATTTCCACGGTTAAATGGATTACACGGTTGATCACCGATGTTTGTCACTATCACTTTGATTTTTTTGATCTTTTCTTCCATTGTTACACATTCCTTGATCACTTTTTTTATTTTGCACTATTTGCTTTATCGAAAATTTTCTCACTTTTCACCATTTGGAATCATCGTAAACACACATATTATATTTTGAATCACCAATAGCCTTCTAGCTAAAAATATTTGGAGTTTCCAGTTTCATTACTTTAGCAGCTTTTTCCACCATCCCAAACGTACTGCACTGATCGAAACAGTTCTATTTTTCAACGTTTCAACGACTAACTTTAAGCGGATTACGCAATTGATCAGTAACGTTTTCTTTCATCGAATCTTATTCAGCACTATTCACTATTATAAATTTTTTTTTCCCTCTATTTCTTTTTATATTTAATTTCGTTTTTTAAATTTAATAACACTTCACTTGATCTGTCGATTATATTTGAACCAAACAACGATTGAGAATTGTTCGAATTAAACACGTTAATGCTAAATATTTACGAATTTGTTTATGCAAAATTTAAAAACTTACAAAATATTAAAAATTACCATACTTGTTACTATTAGCTTATTGGTCATATAGAAATAAAATTTTGTATAAAAATTCATAATCTAATTGATCACGTGTAAGATAAGAAGATGATTTGTAGTTTAAATGTGGAGCTTCATGGTTAGAATCGATAGGTTATCGTTGGAAAATCTTAATGTTGCAATGAATCTCATTGGATCGCGAAGCCTTCGAGAGGTTTTTTACGTGTGTGACACGTGTTTTGACTCGATCCGTTTCTCCGCGACGGTTAGAAACGTTTTCGAACTAATCTCTCTTTTTAAGCACGAAACGAGAAGTTGGAAAAATAATTGGATTGTATTTGGAAAATTTCAGATAGTTCTTGCGATTTGAATTGTTGTAAAAATATTTTAGATTATCAAAAATTATTTTCCACGCGATTTAAATTATTCTATTTAAAAATTTGAATTATCATCGAATTGTTTCGTTACTTTTTACGATATGAACTGTCTTGAAAGTATTTGTGAATCGTTGAAAGTTTCGCGTTATTTTTCACGATTTAGATTGTCTTAAAAATATTTTTAATCACCGAAATTTCCACTAATTTTGTCAATTTGGATCAGAATAAAAAATATTCGTGATTGTCGTATATTTCGAATGAATTTCGAGGTCGTCGAATCTTCTCGATACTTTCCACGATTTGAACTATTAGAAAAATATTTTAGATCATCAACTAGTTATCTTTCGTGATTTGGACTCAAAAATTTGAAATATCTCAAATGTAGAATTGAGTGTTTCGTAATATACGAAAAAATTAAATTATTCTACCAATATTTTCGATTGTCGAAATTCCTATTTTCCTTGATTTGAGTCATTCTATAAAATATTTGTATTTATCTAAAATTTTGTACATTTCTCAAAATTTTTTTCAAGATTCAAATCACTCTAAAAATACTAATTCTTTAGATTCGAAGCACTCACAAGCAAACACACTTCCAGTGATATATAATTTCACGACACTTAACAATAACAACCGAATAAACTTCATGATATTAGTGATAATCTTCGTGTAGTGAAGTGTCAAAAGTGCCAGCCACGATAATAAATAACAAGAACAACCACGAAGAACAATAAACCAAGAATACTCTTCATAAGGAAATGATTATCTATTCGCTATTCGATTTCGATCGAAGGCAATATAACCTAACCTAAGAAAACGATCGAGGATAATCCTTCCTCGACCCAAGATATTTTCCTTCAAGTGTCCAATGGTTCTTCGAGGACTGGTCGAACATCATGCTCGATCTCTTCTGCATCTCGGTGCCACTGCGGCTAGTATAGAATCGATCACAGGATACGACAAAAGAAAGCATAGCTGCGAGCTATTACGTGGAACTAATCCAAACGAGAATACGCGTTTGAAGTGGATCAAAAAGGAGCGTAGATGTCTCTGCCGCGATCTCTTGGCGCCTGGAACACAGTTTTCCCTTCGTACGCCACGCGCTAGACATTTGATGAACGACGACACGTGGCCTTATAGTTTGAATCGGCGAAGAATAAAGAGAAGTAGGAAGAAGATGTTCCTCGATGGGTTAAGAATCGAGCAATGTCGTGTGTTCTCATCTCTCAACGACTCATTGTTGGATCAATGAAATTATAATTTTGATAGAAGACGATAAAGAAAGGTTAAGAGTGTTCAGTTCCTTGTGGATGAGATGGAGATGCCTCATGTGGAGAGATGACGAGTATATTTGAAGAATCGAGGTTCGAGTTTATCTGCCTTCGATGTATAATATATTGTTCATACGTATTATCATTAGATTATTAAATAAATTATAGAATAATAATATATAGAAGAATTGATATTGGTAAGAGACGTTTGATCGTTCTTATCGAATTAAGATTTCGAAAATTAGATCAGATCCTATTTAAATCAAGAAAGGAAATCGTTATTTTTTTTTCGAAAAAATTAAAATTTTGAAATTTGAAAGATTCGCATCGAGAGATCTCCGATTGAGAAAACTTTATTATAATTTTCGAAAGAATTAAAATTTTGAAAATTAAAGTCCTGTTTAGATAAAGAAAATTTTCAACCGAGAAGAGGTCGTTACGAAAACTGAACGTGGTCGAGTAAACGAAAGAAGGATTATTCCAACGATCGATATCCATTCTCTTTTGTCACAAGATGTTTAATCCTCGATACGATTTCTAAAAGGATTTCCTCCTTGATCAGTGCGCTCATCAAGGCTGAATCTAAAAACCCATCCAAAACGAATCTATTCCTATCACGAGGAATAGACATATCGAAAAAAATCTCGGAAACATAGAAAAAGATCACGTATCTTCGTATATCTGTACATATTTCTCCTCTCTCGCGGGAAATCATCGTCGAAGAAAGAGAAGACAAGAAATCGTCTTAAACTATAGGTTGCCTTTTCCACGTGATTGGTTAAATTCATAACAAATCGTAAATAAATTCTTTAATTCTACTTAAATTCTATTATTAAAATCACCAAAACTTCCACTTTATTTCAATTAAATTTTAATTAACAACTGATTCTTTAATCAAGCATAAATAAATTCCATTGAAGATCAACAATATTATCAAAATAAGAAAGTAAAAAAAGAACGAGTCATTTTGGTGAAGTCTCCTTGTAACTTGGCTAAGTTTATAACAATTAATTCACTAAAAACCACTACAAAACTTCCATTGGTTAAATTCATAAAAATTGATTCGTTCGTTAATAAATAAATTCCACAAATTCACTAATAAAATCACTAAAACTTTCGCTTCTTCTATTAACATTCATACCAAAATTTTTCTATTAAGAAAAATATGAAATAAATATAAATAAATTTCATCAAATAAAATCAAGAAACAAAATACGAGAAGAATAAAGCTTCTTGGCAATCTAACCTAACCAAGATAACCAAATAAACAGAATTCTATAATAAATTTTCTCTAATCTACGTAAATTCGTCTATTCCACGATCTATAAACTCCGTAAAAGGAAATTCTCTTTTAAATCTTAAGATTGAACGAAACGATGAATCTCGAAGCGAGGAAAGAATATCACATCACAAATATTTAACAATTTCGATACACCATTACCAACACTATTCTTTCAAACGCAACCGCATAGAGGGAGACACTTATCGAAAATAGAGGATCGAGGTTCGAGACAAGTGTATCGAAAGAGCAAATAAAGTAAAACAATCGATCGTGGAACGGAGATCGAGAGAAGTAGCAATCGAAGCAGCAATCGAAGCAGGAAGTTCGTTGTTTCGTTCTCTTAGAATTTTTCTACGATTGAGTCGTTCCTTTTGTGAAGGAGGATTAAAGGAACAAGGATGCAATCCAAGTGGAGAATCGGAAGGATCGTACCCTTTAACGGGAAGAAATGAAGTTATCAGTGTCGGCTTACAGAGCTCAGGCAAGTGCTCACAAGAAGATCCTTTCCAACTATCAGCATCAGTTGAGTTACGGGGCCACCAATCAGGCGTCCTCGGCCCGGACCCCCTCTGATCCCGCGACGTTCCTTACTGGCTTCAAGGTTAGTCATTTTTTTCTTTGCATATTCACGATTCGAGAAAAATTAATTTAAATATTCATAATCGAATTAATTTTGTTCGAATTTTTTTTGAATATAATTTTGAATTATATACGATTTTATTTTTTTTTGATAATAGGAAAAAATGTGTGTCTGATATTTTTTTTCGTAAAGTTAATTTTTAAAATGCATTAATATTTCAGATTTTAATTTGTTGAAATTATGTGAAATTGTAAAAAAGGAATTTAAAAAATCTTGCGCAATAATAATTTTCTTTAATTTATTATATTTTGTAATTTTTTTATTCAAAATTATTTTTGCACAATAAAATTTTATTCACATTTTTATTTCTAGTGTACACATAGCTTTTTCAATTATGCATGGAGGATATTTATAATCTTGGAATTCTAGATATAAGAATTTTTCCTTGCATTGATGATACTTGATTTTAATAACAAGTTTTTGGATAGTATTATCGAAGCAAAATTTTTTACCCGCATACTATATCATTAGAGATTAATTAATAATCGTGTCATAAGTAATTAATAATTAATAACTACTCTTGTTAAAGTTGATTAATTTACTTGCTGTATGAATTAATTATCTGAATCATAGATGAAAATTTAATTGAATTTTAAATATTAATTTAATGATGTTTTTTAAATGGAATATTTTTTACTTCATTAAACATTGACAGTTTCTTGGAAACTAATTATACTTATTGAGAATTTCATTTATAATGTAGTAAGTATGTAGTTAAAGTGGGTGTCTTTGTTATTATGTTTCTCATTTTTCAAAAGAAATTAAAGTATAGTCATTAATATTTTGCTTGAATATTTCAATATAATTTCCTATATTGTTTTTGGAATTGCTAATTGTTTGATTCAAATTTGATATTAATATTCGAATGGTTAAATTGATAATAATGTATTCTGAATTTTTTAGAATGTTTAAATCTAAGAAAAATTTATTTTTGATAAATTTATCCTTTAAAACTTTTTTATTTGTTATTTTAAAAAAAATAAAATTTTCCACGAAAATAAATGAAGAACTCTTTATAAAATTCGATAATTAAAATAAAAAAACTTATTCAAACGTGATGTTATTATTAAATTAATTTTTTAACAATTAAATTAATAGTTTATTATTATTAATATTTTATTTTATTAAAATTGAATTAATAAATATATGTAATATAAAAAGAACGAAATTCTTCAATCAATAATTTTTGAAATTTCTTAAAATAAAAATATATAAAACATGAAGTAATAAGATTGAAAAAGATAATAGAGAAAAACGTTTAAAAAGAACGTGGTAAGATGTACGTGACTGGTTTTTATTTGGACTTTAATTGTGACTTTACTTTTTTCACAAAAGTCTAGCTTTCTTTTGCCATTGTCCTCATTTTCATAGTGGGTGTACCATTCGAGGAACAAAAAGTTTTTTTTATCTAAAAACTTTTACTAGGTCTGTAAAATATGCATTTTCATTTATTAGAATTTTTTGTTTAGTAATTCAAAAAATTTTCGAACTTTATAGTTCGATTATTAATTATTATGAATTTTACTTGCACGTAAAAATTTTTATTAATCATAACAAATTTTGTTTTTTAAATAAATTATTTTTGGAAGGATATTAAAAATGAAAGATACAATATAATCGCATTATAGTAATTTTGAAGTAAAAATTTTGGAAAATTGAATTACTAAAATACTTATTCAAAGATTTTACATCATGTTCCAAATTTTCGAAGATCAATAAAAATTATTTTATTCTATTCTCAGATGACAAATTCCAAAATTTTTTTTTCAATTTTACAGCATTGTAATTTTGTACTTCATTGATATTCTGTAAGATCAGGAAAAAATGCAATCTATTCTTCTTATCTTTTCTAAATAAACATGTGACATATTAATAATTATCTAAATACATATGAAAAAACACATACATATTATCTATTTAAATTTCGACGAAAAAAATGACACATCAGATTTGTCATTTAGCCAAAGAATTATAACAACGGTTCTCATTCAATTTTATCGAAATTCTAAATTCTAAATTCTAAAAAAAAAAAAAAAACAAAATTATAATACTTCTATAAAAATCATACGAATTTCATCGAGGATAAAAATCTCAATAATTATCAAAAACTTAAATTCATCAATTTAATTATAAATTAAATTGTTAAATTAATATACAATTCATCTTTTCTAAAAAAAAAAAAAAAA